GGATGGAGACAGTTTGGGACACCTTGGCAGATACCCAATCCAGGAACTGAATAGGGGAGTGTGCTCCTGTTAGTTATACTGGACCTCTTGGTAGCTTTCAGTACCATCAGCCATGATATACTTCTGGGCAGCTTCACTGGGATGGGACTCTGAGACAGTGTTTTACAGTGGTTCTGGGCCCTTTTGGAAAGGTGAATTCAAAAGAGGGTGCTGGGGAATGCTTGTTCAATGCTCTGGCTATTGGGAGGTCCCCTCAGGACTCGGATTTGTCCCCTCATGCTATTCAATATATGCTTGAAACAATGAGGAGAGGTCATCTGTAGTTCTGGGTTCTCTCTCTCCTTTCCATCTAATTCCAAGGAAGCTAGGGCAGGATCTGCTGTTAGCAATGAACTGGATGAGGATAAATGTGTAGTGGTTTGAGTGTTGGACTACAACTCTGGAGACCAGGATTTGATTCTCTGCTCGGCCTTGAAATCCACTGGATGCCCTTGGGCAAATCACATGTTCTCAGCCTCAGAGGAAGACAATGGCAAACCTTCTCTGAATAAATCTTGCCAAGAAAACCCTATGATACGGTTGCCATAAGTCAGAAACAACTTGAAGGCACACAACACAGACACACATTTAAATGTAGTGTAGATGAGACATAGGTACTCCTTGTCAATCAAAAAGCAAATCAGAGAATAGGCCTCAGATTCTAAGGAGGTTATACTCCCCCTGAAATCTGAGATACACAGGTTGGGTGTACTTATGATTCAACCCTGAGCCTGGATGACAGGTTTCAGTGGTGGGAAGGATCACATTTGCACAACTAAAACTAGTGTGTCTGCTTTGTCAGTTCCTGGAGATGTCAGACCTGGATATTGTAACAAATGCCTTGATTACATCCTATTTGGATTGCTGTGGGGCTGCCTTTGAAAATGTTTTGAAACTTTGGCATGTCCAAAATGCTGAGGCCAGAACATATAACACCCTCACCCCTGTTGAAACAGTTTTTGCTGGCCATGACCTATAAACTCCTATATGGCTTGGATCCAGACTACCTGAAAGACCATATCTCTCTGTGAGCCCACACAAAACTTAGGATCTTTGAGAGAGTGTTTTCTTTCTGTCCCACTACCTTTGCAGATATGGATGGTGAGGACATAGGAGAAGGCCTTCTTGATGTCTGCTCCCACACCATGGATCTGATCTTCCACGGAAGGGTAGGCTGGCCTCCTCTGTGATCTCTTCTGGACAGCATTCAAAAACCTTTTCATTTAAACAGGCCTTCAGTCTTTAGCTGGGTGTGGCAGAGAAGTCTTTTAATGGGCTGTGCTCTACCTTTGTCTTATGTTTTATATGCATTTTTAAATGTTTTAAATTTTACTGCAATTCCCTATTTGTGTTTTTTTTTAACTTTTGTACCATATAGCATATTTTAATATAGTTTGTATATAGTTTGCAAGCCACCTTGGTTACCATACTGGAAGAAAGGCATGATATACATTTAAGTAATTAAAATATGTAAATAAATTAATAAATTGCCAGTACTGTTGGTGCTGTCCAAAGTTTAAGTATGATGCACAAGTAGTACAGAAAGAAAGTACATCACTCTTCCTTGCAGCAGCAGGGAGAGTGTAGCAAAAGGGTAATATTGCACTACTGGGCTTGATATGGGAGGAAACAGGGCTAACTGCTGGTTCCTTAGTCACAGTGCCATTAGGGGAGTTATGACTTGAGGAATCAGTCACTCCCTATTGATACCCTACAGATATTCCTGAACTTCAACTGCCATCAGCCTTAACCAGGATGGACAATGGTCAGAATGCTGTGAGTTGCAGTCGAACAACAGCTAGAAGGCTGCATGATTCCTCCCGTCCCTCTGCTCATCTACTGTATATAAACTCCAGAGCAGGGGTAGGCAACCTAAGGCCCGGGGGCCGGATGCGCCCCCCTGAGGACTTTGGACCGGCCCCAGGCCAGTCCTGCCGCTTCCACCGCCACCCACCATGATGATATTGATTACTGTTGTTATTTCTTGTTCTTGGGGTTTTTTGGGGGGGCATAATCTCCACAGGGGTTTTGCCATGGGTTTTCTGGGCTGAGAGAGTGTGCATGCATATATTTTTTTATTTATTATTTTTATTTATTTATTTATTTTTGGTGCTTCGGCCCCCCAATTGTCTGAGGGATGGCAACTCGGCCCCCAGCTCGAAAAGGTTGCCTACCCCTGCTCCAGAGTATGATGCTGTTCATCAGTCCAAGACACATGCTGGTAGGGAAAGCCACTCAATTCCAATTGCCCAACTACTTTCATCATAGCTTATTCTGATCTATCCTTACCCTGTTTTGACTCTTTGAACAAAATCCTAACCTCTTTAAACTGGGCTTGGAAAAAAAATATGTATCATATACTTTGGCCCCATTGCTTCTCTGGCTCAGAGTCAGAGAAGATATCATTCTGTGAGTTACTGTTTGCTACTCAGGCCAGAGGATCTGATTTTACCAGAGTCCTCACCATGGCCATGCCAAAGTTTTGCCTGTGCTGCAATCCTGCAGAGTCAGACTTGACTTTGAGTCATCATATGTGCCTCATCACCATGTAAGAATGTGAAAGCTGGACAGTGAAGAAAGCAGATAAAAAGAAAATCAAAACATTAGAGATGTGGTGCTAGAGAAGAGTGCTGAGAATACCATGGACAGCCAAAAAGATAAACAAATGGATCATTGAACACATCAAGCCTGAACTCTACCTGGAAGCCAAGATGATTAAACTGAGGCTGTCGTACTTTGGCCACATCATGAGAAGGTATGACTCATTGCAAAAGACAATAATGTTGTGGTAGATGAAGGGTAGTAGAAAGAGAGGAAGACCACATGCGAGATGGCTAGACTAAATTAGGGAGATCATGGGCCTGAATTTACAAGACCTAAGCAGAGCGGTGGATGATGGGGGTGGGGGCTTGGAGATGTTTCATCCACAGGGTCGCCATGAGTTGAGATCGACTCCAGGGCAGTTAACACATATGTGCCCCTGCCTCTGAAGATGCCAGCCATAGATGAAGGTGAAAAGTCACGAATAAACTCTTCCAGAATGTGGCCACTTAGCCCAGAAAACTCACAGAAAACTATGGATGCTGGCTGTGAAAGCCTTTGACTTCACAAGTGATGCTGCCTGGGACAGAAGACTAGCCATTGGCAGCAAGCCAGTGTGTCATATGTTCTGTCAAACACATCCCCAACAAGTCATATTTTTAAAACACCTTTCAAGAGCAGCTCCAAATAGAATGTTTTATAGTAAAACCAGAGCTTAGAAAAAAATTGGACTACTACTGCCATGCTGCTTTGAAAGCTACAGGATGTGGATGTTAGGAGTTCCAGTAAATCTAAAGTTTAAATTCTATACCATACCAGGTAATAATGATATGACGGGGTGGGCAACACTGAAGAGCCCATGTCTTCCCAGCTACATTATTAAATACTAGAAGGAATCATTTTTAGCTGAAAAACAGCTAAAAGGGGGGCAGGTTTCAAACCACTGTTCTGCTTTCAGCAGGGTTAAGATGAAACATCATCTGAAAATAACACTGATTTTGTCCCCTAAAAAAATGTGAAGCTGGGGCTTGGGAGGCTCTTAGGAGGCTTTGGGGGATTCAAGCAGTCCACATGCTGCATTTCACAACCCAGCATTTGACAGTCATTTTTCTCAGGCTCTAATGGATTTTTTAAAGCCTTACACACAGTTCACATTCACATCTCATCTAGCCACCAGACCATGTATGTGTAGGTTGAGACAGTAATCAATACAAGCTCATGATTTACATGGATGCCATGAAATCCTGAACCAGTTATACCACGGGTTATCTGAATGAATGCTGAATTGCCCCAATACAATCAGAGTGGGATACCACTTCCAAGACCATCTCTATCTGCTCAGTCAGGGAAATGGTAGAGTGGGATAGTGGATGCAGGACACCAGTAAATCCTGTTGGCAGATTTATGCACCTAAATCTTGGGAGCTTGCTGGGCAGGATACCTCCAGAGAATGATGGATTCACAGTTTGAAAAACTGCAACTTCATCATGGATTGTTATGACTTCAAGTCTAGGTTCAATATCACAGTGACTTGCCAAAGGCTGCATCTGCACTGGAGAATTAATGCACTGTTTTAACTGCCATGGCTCCATCCTATGGAATCTTGGGATTTGTAGTGGCACCAGAGATCTCTAACAGAGAAGACTAAATACCTCACAAAAACCTTCAAATCCCAGAATTCCATAGCACTGAGCCATGGCAGTTACAGCAGTGTCAAACTGCACTATTTCTGCAGTACAGATGAAATCTGAACCAAGTTCTTCTAATTTAAAACCCATACAATCGCAACTTATTCTCTCAACTACAAATATCTAGCTCACAAGCAGAGTTTCAAATGCTATGCTAAGATCTTCAACTGTGCTGTTATTGGTGGCCATCTCATTGCAAAATCCAAAGCAATCCTCTGTGCAAGGAAAAAGGATTTGTTATGACTCATGAGACCTTCATTTTCCAGTTGTTGCTGATGTTGCTTCAAATCATTTCTGACTTATGGAAACTCTAAGGCAAACCTATCATGCTTTGTTTTGTTTGGCAAGATTTATTCAAAGGGGGATTGCCTTTGCTTTCCTCTGAGGCTGAGAAAGTGTGATTTGCCTAAGGCAGGGGTAGGCAACCTAAGGCCCGGGGGCCGGATGCGGCCCCCCGAAGCCTTTGGACCGGCTCCAAGCCGGCCCTGCCGCCGCCGCCCGCCATGATGATATTGATTATTGTTGTTATTACTTGTTCTTGGGTTTTTCTTGGCAAAATCTCCACAGGGGTTTTGCCATGGCTTTTTGGGGCTGAGAGTGTGTGCATGCATATTTTTTAAATTTTTAATTTTTTTTTGGTGCTCCCCCCCCCATTGTCTGAGGGACAGCAACCCGGCCCCCGGCTCAAAAAGATTGCTTACCCCTGGCCTAAGCTTACCAAGTGGATTTCTATGGCTGAATAGAGATTCCAACCCTGGCTTCTAGAGTTGCAATCCAATGTTCAAACCACTACACCACACTACCTCTCCCATTTTCCAGTGCTGCATCATTTTTGCTGTTACTGCATTTCAGTCAAGACAGAATGATAGTCCCAGGAGAGGAGAAGAAACCCAGACACTTGGTAAATGAGCCACCCATCCCTTGGGGCCCGTTCTGACTAACAGATGTGCTGTGAAGTTTATAACATTGCATGACTACTCTGAAAAACTATGAATGACTAGAGGAGTCAGCTGACTCACAGTATCAGAATTTTATTTTTTTTTTAAAAAAAACCCACCTCTGTCCATTTTAAAGTAGGCCACCTATAACAAAGAGTATATAGTAGGCAAAGAGAAAACTTTCATGGTTAATTCAGGCTTCAACGTTACTTCTGTTATTATTACAGGGGTGGGGATAATTTACAATCCAAATTAACCTCAAGTACCCACAAGCCATCTCAGATTCACAGGGCTATATATGTGAAATAACTCAGCTGAGTTCAACACACTTTATTCTTGCAAGTAATGACGTGGCAGAAAGACAGGGTAAAATAGCTAATAGTCTTGCTATCAAGGGATCTTTCAGGATTCAGGCACATTCTGGTGAACATCTCACAATAACATCTCTGCAACAAAGTGGTTTTACATTAAAATTCTATACATGTTACTCAGATTAGGCTCCCTCTGGGATCAAAGGGATTTACTTTCTGGTAAGTGTATATAGGACTTAGCCTTTTAAGCATATTCCATGGCTTATCTTCCAAACACTTTGGCACATAACAGTGTTTATAAAATTTTTTAACAAGCCCTGCTGGGAGTGTCCAACAGGGCAATAAAATTAAAACTCTACTTCTTAGTTCCCCAATTTACCTGTCCCACCCATCTCTGGTTCTATCATCCCTGTTCTGTCTTTTTTCTTTCCACTCCTTTTTGTTTGCTATTAATCTATAGTTTACTGCATTCCATAGACATACTAAAATCAATGAGGATTTGCCATTGTTTCCTATAGGATACATGCAGTACCCTAAGTGCAAAGCTTGGAAAGTTACTTTAAAAAAGTAACTCTTTCCCATTACTTGTTGTCTGTAAAAAGTAGCTAATTGCTATTACTCATTACGGTGTGCTTTCTCACACTACTCATTCCATTGCATGTTACTTTACTTAAAACCACCATGATGTTAGAAGAATGACATTAAAAACACTGCTGTCAAAAATGTGTAAAAATTCTGTTTAAGAATTAACCTTTAAAAGTAACCAGGACATTTTATTCATCACACTTTTCCTTCATTCTTATTTCCTATGTTGCTTTTGGAATATAATATCATTCTATTCTTATTACCCAAACTATGGTCTGTGTGATTTGTGCCAGATAATAAGATTACTTGCAATTACTTCGTTACTTTCAAGTTCTACCTGAGCAAAATTTAAATCAATACATTGTGATTTAACAACTGTAACTTGTCTTTTCACTTCCACCCTGCATCTCTGCCATTTTAAACTGAGAATGTTATTACCGTTTGTATTATACAAGTGTGAGTCTATGAAGCAGTCAGCTGTAACATGTTATCTTTCATTACACAACAAATAAAATTGTTGCAGCTAAACTCTTTCAAGAGACCTGTACTGCTCAGCAAGTTTCTTTCTGTTTTTGCTTTTCAGCAAAGAACACAAATACACATACACACACATAGAAAAGTGCTGATTCCTTGGAGCTTTGGGACACTAGTGGAGGGCACTTGGAGGACTTTACATAACTTGCAATGGCCTCAAGGAGCAGAAATCCATACTTACAGCGTGTACTCAGGCTGATTGTGGCCCAGCTTACTCCTTTCAGATGACCGTGCCGAGTCCGCCGGACTGGCATTTTAAACAAATTAAGCTACTTCCCACGTTGCAACATATAGAATGCCAGTTTAAACAATCCCTCCAGTTGATTTCTGCATGAGGCATAGAGGATACTGTATCCAAATGACACATCCGGAAGAGGGGCTTGTTGCTAAACAGCCACAGTACCAGTCTCCAGCATAACAAGGAAAATCCCTTATGTAGAAAAACACCAGGAGTGGGGTAGGGGAGAAAGGAGGAGACAAGAGAGAAAAAGAGAGAAGAGTAAACCTGAAATGTAGCCAATAACCCTAAAGACTCCTTGGGATATTTTGGACCTAAAAGCCCACCAATCAGCGGTGCGGTGGCAGAAAAAAGTGAACACATGCCTCCCTAGACCATATATGTCTTAGATTAGGCAGACTTTGGAAGGACTGAAACAGGAGATGAGTCTTCGAGACCCATCAACCGGCATCACATGTCACTTGTCAACACGAAATATAGCAGGGTTCTGAGATCCCACTTTGGGAAGCAGAATTAGACTTTAAAAGAGCATGCACTGAGCTTTAAAAAGAAAATTAAAGACATTTAGATGGTACAAACAACCTGTTTCATTTAAGTGAGAGGAAAGGGATGGAGAAAGAGAATCCACTGTTTTGCAGAAGCTGCTAACTTTGCAAGATTAGAAATACTATTAGCTTTTTATCATAGGATAAACAAGGAAATTGACAAAGGACCATTTAGCTCAGAGATGGCTGCTGGGTTGAAAGCAAAAATTAAGGACTCATAACTCATTCATGAGAACTTTGGCTTGATTGCCAGATCTCCTTCGCCTAGGCACTTATTTCCCAAGCAAATTTTAATGAGATTAATCACAATTAATCTGCAGCAGGAAACAAGAGTCCTAAATTGACAGATGTTTTAAAGGCTGATATTAGCGGGGGAGCTGGCATGGAGTATCTAAATGCCATCCCTGTCATTCCTCAATTTGTTTTTATTATTTAAATTGTCACTGTCTGGTGCAATATCATGCTCCATTCACCAACAGAGAAGAAAATTACAAAATCCACACACACAAATTAATAACACACCCTTTTTAAATCAATTTAACTGCATGAGAAAGAAGATCACTAGAGCTTCTGAAAACAAACAATTTTGGATGAAAAATATACTAGTATAGTCTAGTGATACTGAAATGAGCACTCTCACACTTAGGGGCTCCACATAGCAGCAGGGACAGATTTCTTCAAAGCATAGCTGGTGGCATTATGGAGTAGCCTTACTGGATTATAGTCTTTAAATGGGGTTAGGTTAGCCTGGTGGGGAAAAGCTACTGCAGAATCATTAGCCCTCTGTCCCTTGGGTAATGCAAGAATCTCCAAACTACATCTGAGGGAACCAGGTTTCGGCTACTTCTCAATACTAATGTAATCACCCCACACATATGGGGGGGAATGAGATGGGGAACTCTTTTCAGTCCAAGGGCTGACTTCAAATTTGGGAAAGAGTCTTGGGAGGTGTGTTCAAGCAGTGGGTACATCTAAGTGCATGGAGCAGGACAAAGCAAAGTTGGCAGGGACAGGTTTTTTATTTAATTTTTCATCAGCATGCAAAACCTCCCCAGTCTGCAACCCAGAACTCCTGTTCGGTGCATAGTAGTAGTAGTAGTTGTAGTAGTAGTAGTAGTAGTAGTAATAATAATAATAACAATACATTCATTTGTATCCCGCTCCTCTGCAAATGCAATAGGGGCAGCTTACAGTAATAAAACATCACATAGCCTTCCAGGTCTCTGCAAAAAGCTACAGAATGGGCTCTTCCTACATGTGTTTGACTCACAAAGGCTTCAATCAGGGTCCACCTGGTGGGTTTATTACCTTCTGCCCAAACAGACCTCTTCTTCTCTTTTGGAAGCTGTTATGCTTACCCATGGCATTTTTTTCTTCCACGTTTATTATCCTTGGGTGCAGTTACCCTGTAGAAATAATGCAGTTTGATACCACTTTAATTGCCATAGCTCCATCCCACAGAATTATGGGATTTGTAATTTTGTGAGGCATCAGCCTCTCTTTCTAAGAGACCAGCCTTTGACATAGAAGGCTAAAGACCTTGTAAAACTACAAATCCCAGGATTCCATACGATGGAACTACAGCACTTCAAGTGGTATCAAACTAATTCTTCGCTGTAGATGCGTCCTCTGACACATCGTTTTAGCAGATGGGGCACAGGGAAAGATGAGTACATGTCCCTCATCCATCATGCTAAGAGGGTCCCCTTAAAAGGCCAGGTTGAGACACTAAGGGCCTTGTCTTTATTCCAGACTGAAGTTCCTGAGTCTTTACTGGAGCACTCTGACTCAACCCCCACCCCCACCCCCACGAGCTGCAAATGATCCACACAGCACTTTACATGCAACAGTGAGTAAGAAAAGATTTCTGTGAGCAGACGGGAAGGATCTAGTACAAAAATAAGATTCATTGGATGCTTGATTATCCAACAGTGGTTTCCAAATGTTGATCCTGCAGATGAGTTGTACTTCAACTCCCAGAATGCCTGGTGGGTTTACCAAGCGGGCTGAGGCTTCTGAGAACTGAAATCCAAAACATTTGAAGGACCAAAGTTTGGGAATCACTGCAGGACTCTAAAATAGTTAAATAGTTCTCCATCCACTGGTAAAAAGAAACAGCCATTAAGTAGCCGATGGGCCTTTGCAGATTGCCAGAAATTGTGCAAATTGAGTCCACTTTAAGGGTTAGGGTTAGTGCTAGGGAATCATGGGAACTGGTTTTTTTTTCTGAGACATTGAGCCTTCTCTGTCAGAGAGTTCTGGTGACACAATAAAATACAATTCCCATGATTCCCTAACCCTAAACCTAACCCTTAAAGTGGACTCAATTTGCACTATTTCTAGCAGTCTGCAAAGGCCCCATATTAATAATCTATATTAAAAAAATCCACTCTTACTTTTGTGTCTACAGGTTACATTTTTCCTACATGATACATCTAAGATTTTTTTTTATAATTAAATGATCTTGCATTTATTTCCTTATATTATGCTTGGCATAAAATAGTTTTTATGGTATCACTCAGGAAGAAAAAAACCAGTTATACAATATACACTTCAATGTTTTACAGAAAAATCTATGGACCTTAATCTGCCAGGATTTGGAGAGTTTGGGCCAGGTATTTTTAAAATAAATTTATTTTTAAAATAAATAAAA